AGTAATGTATTTGTCTGTTCCTAATAACCTGTATCATCAACAGATCTTTATTTGTAATAAATGTACATGAAGAGTTGATGTACAGAGATGCAACATTGTAAAGAATACATTTGAAACTCTAACTCCATGGTACAAGGAGTTATTGAGCAGGTGGTAGTTATTTATCTGATCAAGATATCCCCTCCTTTTATTGAAGTAGAAGGTGTGTACCCACAATTGATCCCTATCCAAAGTCAGGTGTTTGTATTTGTGTAGACGTAATATTCTTCTTTCAACGCCTTTTTCTTCTATGGCTCTCCGGTCCGTATTTGGTCCATGGCCTCCTCAATTCTCCTCTTCCATTCGGTACTCAAGCCCCACCACCACGACAAGGTGCAGGTACCATTAAGTGGGGTCATCAACACCTGTCTTCCAAGAATTCCCTTCCTGTGAAGTTTCGAACCAAACATTTTCAAGTGAAACTGCAATTTTGTCCTCATTCATGCAACACACATTGTCAGTTTCATTACTCTTAAAGTAAGTTCTTCATTGTGTAATTTTCTTTTTTCCCTCATTCCTTCTCAGTTCGGATATTCTCTTCATACTTTTTGTAGCACGCCCATGAATTCTCTTGGAGCAGGTTTTAATTAATTTATCACAATTATTGGGTACTTGTGGGTTATCGGGACACATCGCTTTACAAATAGGTTAGGTTATGTTAGGTTAATGTGTGGATAAATGACATATACTTGAAAGTTTTTATATTTTATTTCAATAAATGACAACTAACCTAACCTATTTGTAAAGCGATGTGTCCCGATAACCCACAAGTACCCAATAATTATACTAATGGTATGAGGTCAAGTGAAACACAGCATGCATTATTTTCTGCATTGTTTAACGTCTTAATTTAATAGTTAGTTTAATTTCTTAATGTATCTGGAAGTAAGCCCACATTTCATTATTAATAATTGCACCAAGAAAAATTTATTAAAAATCAGTTGTGTATTAATGGATTACTAAACACAACATTACTTACTGGACAACTGGGGAAACAGAATCAAACTATACTTCTGTTTTACTGGAGAGTAAAGGTAATAAAAACATAACAGAGTTTAACTTCAGTAACAAATCCTGTAAATCGTTGGTCATCTTTTGCCATATCCTTTTTAATCAGAACTAGTTTTGCACCATCCCAGATGTTTCGGTACAGCAAAACCAATAACCTAAGTGCGGTCTGATGCAGACAAGTGCCCAATGACCAACAGTGAAGGACGACATTAGAGTCATAGATGGTTTTTTTTTCTGGTGGTATGCAGTGATACCAGCACATTCTGAAAATATGTTGAAAATTAGAGGGGTCTGCAGTGGTCGCGCGGTCTGAGGCGTGGGCCATGTGCCGCTTGGTCGCTAGGACCGTGGGTTCGAATCCCACTCAAGCCATGGATGTCTGTCCGTGGTTTTCTGTGTACAGGTAGAGGCCTTGCGACGGGCCGATCCCTCGTCCAAGGAGTCCTACCGAATGTCTATAGATCGAGCCAACGAAAAGTTGGGACCCGCAGTGTTCAGGCACTTGAAGAACGGGTCGTTCCCAGTATGTTGAAAATTAAAAGTAAATTGTTTATTAGGTATAATTGTCACAAGATATTTCTGAGCTTTGTTGACTGTTACGAATGCTTATTGGTGGCCAGACAGCTGAAGTACAGAGTGGTAAGAAAAGTAATATCACATAAAGGATCTTTCTCCCCCTTGACCTTTCCATCTTCCCTTCTCCTCTTATGTAGCTCAAGCTCACATATATTTTGCATCCAGTATTCCTTCAAGTTACAGCACTGATGACTTTACCTCGTACAATTCAAGACTCCCTGCTTCAGTATATTTTTGAGGTTATAACAGGATTGAATTAGATGGGAATATATTCATGAGTAGTAAGAATTTCAAGGATTTGGAAGGAGGCAGTTATGACCTATTTAAAGATAAGACAGGAAATTTATAAGAAACATCAGAAAAGATTGGTGGCTGGTAAATGGGCTAAAGTCCAAACCTTGTAATACCTGAAATAAAACCTTCGTAGGTGACAGAAGAACCAATTTGGAAAAGGAGTCCGATGGAATAGGTGACTGCTTTATGTTAGTTATATACATAATGCCCCTTCCTGTATGGCCACTGACCAATGGGGAACAGTGGATGAACCCATCCTGAAACCATTCAATTTGATTCATTACATTTGGAACTTTGGGTTCAAATGACCCAGCCAGTGTTGTCTAAAAATAACCAATCATCTGTTATTTATTTGTAGTTTATTTATCGACGCTGTTTCAGTAGGTCCGACTATACAGCGTCGAATAAGAGGATATTAGACAATAATGAATTGGAAAGAAGCGGTCATGGCCACATTTTCAGGTACTATCCGGTCATTTTCCGAGGGACTGAGGAAAACCGCGAAAATCCCCAGTCAGGATAGCCGAGATTTGAACCCGGGACCTTCCGAATACAAAGAAGGAATGTTAACCACTCGTTCGGGACGTCAGGGCAGTCGTCTGTGGTCAGTTGAAAGTGTCGTCATCTGATAGTTCCTCCTGATTGCAACCAGCCTGTTCAGTGTACAGGTGTGCAATTGGCCTCTGATTTTAATGGTTTTAGTGTTGTTTGACTAAATATAGTATGAACACTTAAGTATAATGAACAACAAAAATCATGCAAGTTAGATATTTATTTCGTATATTGTAAGTATTAAAAATTTCCTTGGAAATTCTGATTGTAACAATGAATTTTAGCAAGGTCTGTCCTGACGCTCTAAGAAGAAATGGTATGTCAACCATAAGTATGTCCTCATCGCCTCATCACTGTAAGTGAGGAGAAAATGGATATCCTATGGACCTAAGCTCTAAGCCTATAGATCTGCTCGTCCTTTAATCTAATTGACTCTTCCAGGACAGACAGCAAACATGCAACATGACGTCATCATTGTGTATAATTTAAATAGTATTGTTTATTGTGAGGAATATCTTCTTACATTATTCCTTCTTCTTTTTTTGTGTGTGTTTTCCTTTTTTCTGCCAAAAATTCTTTGCTGTGTAGTAGCCTATGCGGAGATAAAAATATAAGTTTAGTGATGAGTTTGTTTTCGCCCTGATTGACTCATGACAGGATCAGGGCTGGAAATGGATGCAATGGTTAGACACCACCCACTTAATTTCAGAGAGCTTTTCTTTAAGGGAACATTTTACAGTGTCTTAATATTTCGTTGGTTTCGTTTCCAGCAACACATGTTGGAGTGAATCCAAGAACTTACATTGTAATAATGTTCTATTAAATTTACCGGCCATTACTCTGGACATTGTTACTGAACCAGAATGTCTGCCCAGTTCCGTAAAGCCATTTATACCCTTGGACAAGACTAGCCGGTGTCCCATCTGATATTGAAACCGGGTATCCTACCTCTCGAACGCGAGTTAGGTGTGTTAGAACTACACCTGTCTGTTACGTTCTGCATACGTTCAAACATTTTTTTCAAAGTGCAAAGTTTATTTCTGATTGGTTGTTTATACTTCAAAATGGCCCACACACGCATATCAATAACAGCAAAGAATGACAAGGGATTGTGGACGTCTTATCTGGAGTAGATGAACGCTGCTTGCTTCCCCTCAGTAGCGTCGTCTCGTCCGCCCCATTCCTCTTCAGGGCGCCTGCGTACACGCCGGTCCCCTCTCTCGCTAGTCATGGATCAGCTGATTCTGTATTGCCGATATCACCCCAACCGCGCCAGGAGTGAGAGCCGGGACATCGTTATGAACGATGAAGGCGGTTCCGAAAAAACTTGCAGGATATCAGCAACCACTCCCACCATTATTTTCATTGGCCACTATTATCAAGTGTTATTACGACTACCTTAATGTGTGAGAAGAAATAAATATATACACAATCAGAAATCTCCTCTCACCGAGTGCTGCAGTTATTCGCGTCGAGTTGAGAGTTCAGTTCAGCATTTCTCTGTCTGCAGATGGGGTAGCAGCTGCATGTTATGTACTGAATGGATGGGCGACATCCACAGTCAGCGAGCTAGAAAGGAAATTAATATTCGCTGTTAATAGTGCATCTACTTCGAGATGACTTTAATAAAACACACTGCCAACGTATACAGCACATCTGCCCATCACGGTTGCCATCGTCACAGCTGTAATGAAGGCAGAAACGTCACATTCCTCTTCTTTATCATGGTGCTTCTGCTGCTGCTAGGACATTTGGGAGTTTGTTCCGGAAGACCAGACGCATTAGCATCCTCGTCGAGTTCAACGACGTCCTCACCTTCCGGTAATCATTATTACAGTGATAGTAACAGTAGACACATTTCTTGGTCAGTTAAAGGCATGGCTCCCGCTTTTGATGATAGTGGTGATGGTGGTGTTCAAGATGCATATTCTTCACCTTCTTCATCCATAGGGCGTTCACCGATCCGCCCCGATGATCAAGGCGGCTTCGAAGAAAGCAGACCCATTTCACCCGGGCCTGTCTTCCTGTACAATGCTGACGATGGAAAATCTGACGTGCAGTCTTCAAAATCTGACACGAAGCACAATGACAGTGGAGGCTCGAAGCGCTATGATGTCATGTCTGTTGACTTTGCTCGTGTGGAGACGCCGTTCATCATCGGCGTTTGGATATTCTGTGCCAGCCTCGCCAAGATCGGTGAGTAGTACAAAGTTTTTGTTACTGTTACCACTAGCGTTCTTGTGGTGTTTAATGTCATGTCTCTTTCGAGCATCTAAACCGGTAATCACATAAAACGTGTTTATTGGCTTTCATGAATCCATGTTTCGATATGACAGCAAGAGTGGAAAGTACTTAGATTATTATCTGAACGCGTTTTTTTTTTGTTCCATTCATAATTTATTTGGTGTTTATTGTTGATGTAAATCTTGCAGTGAGATGTTTAAAATCTGTTTGCTCATCATATAATACAATGCTTACCGGTATTCATGCAGATTTAAATATCGTTTTGCCTATGATATCTCTCCGAAATATGTTGCAATCTTTTGTTTCTGTTTTATATGTTTATTTACTTACATTTCGGTTGCGATATCATATCGCTTTTCGAACGATATAGTTATTATTTAAACCTCAAAAGAAGTGGCAACTTGGAAGACCAAGGTGTAGATGGGAGTATAATATTACAATGAATATTAGGGTAGTAGGGTGAGAGGATATGACTCAGGACAGGGACCGGTGATGGGCTGTTGTGAATACGGTAATGAATATTCAGGTTCTATAAAGGTCTGGGAATTCCTGACTCACTATGGTATTAACTTTAAAGAAGGGATCTGTTTCATGGGGTTGTTAGTTGCTTGATTAAAAAGGAGGCCTGTCTTTTTAATAAACTATCGAAGACATTTGACATTCGTCATTTTGCGTGCTGCTATATAGGCTTTACTGGAATTTAAAGCAGATAAAAGAATTATGCAATAAAGACTTCCTTAAACATGTGTAGATTTCAAGTTTCGGCCAAATATTGTATTAGTGAGATTTCAGGTTCTCACGGCGGCGAGTATGAAGACAGATGTCTTCAAATGTTGCGTCAGTTTGTTTGTTACGAAGAGGATCCATATTTAGAAACAT